GGCTGCGCTACCGGACGTTGCTTGGCATTGGTGGCCAGTTCATGCAGCAAATTTCTGGAATCAACCTCATCACTTATGTGAGTTTTACCTCTTCCCTCCCAGCCCTAGTTCTCACAGTCTGCTGGAAGCCGATATTTCGAACGAAGTCTAACAAGAGTACTAGTACGCACCAGTCATCATGCAGAAGTCTGTTGGCCTCGAAAGAAACCTATCCCTGCTACTAGCCGGCTTCAATGGCATTGCCTACTTCCTCACATCACTGATCCCCATCTGGATCATCGATCGCGTGGGCCGCCGCAACCTCATGCTCTTTGCCGCTGCCGGTCAGTGCGCTTGCATGGCCATTCTCTCTGGCACCGTCGCAGACGGAGGCAAGTCGGCCGGTATCGTGGCCGTCGTCATGTTGTTCCTCTTCAACGGCTTCTTCTCCGTCGGTCTCCTCGCCATCCCTTGGCTGCTGCCGGCCGAGTACGCCCCGCTCACCATCCGAACGCGTGCCGCAGCCTTGGCCACGGCGTCCAACTGGCTCTTCACCTTTGTCGTGGTCAAGGTTACGCCCGTCAGTATTCAGGATATCGGCCACCACACGTACACCTACTTTAGCGTGTTCAACTTTGCCTTCCTGCCGCTCATCTGGTTCTTCTATCCCGAGACGAAGAACCTGACACTCGAGCAGATTGATAGACTGTTCACGGGCGACAAGGTCTTGATGCATTGGCAATCGAGCATGGGAGTTCCTGGGGAGGTCGAAGTGTGCGACCACGATAAGGACTACGAGGCGGGAACTCCTGGGCAGGTCATGCATGTCCAGGGAGACGAAAAGATCATTTAAAAGGGGCTTTGAGGTGGCTACTGTGGAGATTTGTGGGAGAGTATGTGACGGCTCTCGTCCCGAACGATGATGCATCGGCTATGAGTCCATGGGCATCAGGGCATGGCTTGTGTTGGAGGAACCTGGCGTGTACTGTGTGTCTACTGTATTTTTCTCTCGTAAATCAGAACTGGCCATACAAGTTGTGATATTTTGATACCCGATTGTTTCAGGGAGCTGATTCAAAGACTGGGTCGCATTTTAAGTAGGCTTTCCACAGACTTGATCACACCCGCACGGATATCACGAGAAAAAATTCAGCTTTGTGTAAGCGAGTCAACACGCCAACGCCATTCTCTGTCACGAATCCTGTCGCATCTGCATTTACAATTTGCTGTCTTTCCAGACGGGCTGTCTCTTTTCCACAAAGGCCAGGACGCCCTCCTTGATGTTGTCGCCGCCCTCGAGCTGCTGATAGATGCCCGCCTCAACCCGATTCGTAGCCTGCTGGGGCGCTTCGCCCCCGAGCCCGCTCATCAGTCCCTCCCTCGTCACGATGATGGAGTCGGGCGAGTTGTTCGCCAGCTTCTCCGCCACCTGGAGCACAGCCCTGATCAAGTCATCAGCAGACCCCTCGACGACGCCATTGACAACGCCCCAGTCGCGCATCTGCGCAGCCGTGTACATGTCGCCGAGCATGGCCATCTCAGACGCCCTCTGCCTGCCGAGGATCTGGGCGATCCGCGGCAGCGCGCCGGCAATGGCCACGACGCCCCTCTTGACCTCGGGCAGGCCAAACTTGGCGGACGCCAGGGCGTAGACGAGGTCGGCGTTGGTGATCATTTCGAAGCCGCCGCCGAGGCAGAGCCCGTTGACGGCGGCGATGACGGGCTTCTTGCCGTGCCGGTTGGAGAGGCCGCCGAAACCGCCGGTCGAGGGCCACTTGGCGTCGGTGCCGGGGGCGCCTCTGTTCTTCGCGTCCCAGGCCTTGAGGTCGGCGCCGGCGCAGAAGGCGCGGCCGGTGCCGGTGAGGATGGCGCAGCGGAGAGGCGGCTGGGCGTCGTACCACTCGTAGAGGGCCAGCAGGGCGTGGTGCTGGGCGGGGGGGATGGCGTTGA